GTTCCCGAAGTCTGTCCTCAAGTTGAATTTGTATGTAAGCTAGAACAGTAGTATTGTATAATACTGTATAAGAAGTAGTGTCACTCTGCAGTGAGATGGGCGGTAACAAATTTGAAATATAAATAAAATAAAATAAATAAATTGTGTAATGAACTCAAACCATTGTGTATTTAATTCAAATCATTGTGTATTTAACTCAAATTTTGCTATAGTAGGCTCCATTCTTTACTATGGGTCATCCGTAAACCAGGCGTTCTTAACCCCGGGGACTACCTGTACTTCTTTTTCCTCTGGACCATCCACTCCCTTTGAAGGAAAATGCCTTATTTTGTTTAGCTGCTTTACTGTTTGTTGGCAGCTGCAGAGCTTCCAGAACACACAGCTCCTCCAGTCTCCTCTCATACCTATGTCAAGGTTGTAGCTTGATTGGCAACTCTGCTGTGCTGATGCTGGGGAGAATGCTCAGATGGGACGGGAAGAAGGCAGCACAGAGGCCTGCAATTTTTTAAGCAGCCTGCCCTTCCACAGTGGTGTAAGGTCTACAGAGTAGCTTCTAGAAACACTCAACCTTAAATTCTAATGTGGCATTCTAAAAACATTTACTGTTATGTTCAGTAATCCAGACAATGCTCCTGCAAGGTATCATTACTTCTATTTTGCAGATGAAGGACCCAAACTGAGAAAATAATTTGGTGATGTAGTGGCTGAGGACTTCCTCATTCATAGATCACGTTCAACAAGACTACATCAGTTCTAAAACAAATATTTGGCCACACCCAGCTGTGTAGTGACTGATTTGTCATCTACAGTCAATTTTCTGTATGCTCATCAGGAAGTAACCACTTCTGAATATAGTGGGGTTTGTTTTGAGAAAATGTTCCTAAGGAACATGTTTTAATTCTTCCATATTCTCCAAACAAGAGGCATTCCCTTAGTTTGCATTATTTAATAAGGGATAGCCAGAAGATAGTTTGCGATCTACTGATAGATCTTTGGATGAAGGCAGTAGATTGGTAAGGTTTCTGACCTTAATTGTTTAACTATATGATCAAGAATATTACATGTCTATTCCTGACCGCTCAAGCTTAATTTTATTCCTGAAATGAGGAAAGCTTGGAAGTCAATAGAAATAGATTTCTTTAAAAATGTTCAGTTTCCTTGATTCAAACCTCTTTAATTCTAAATGCATGTCTTCTACACGGATGCTGGTAGATTTTGAAGTTCTGACAAGAAAAGTAGACCCTGTCTCAAATATGCCATCCTGCTGTTAATCAATCTTCCCCAGTGTGGCTCTCTCCAGGGACTTGGGATAAAAACTGCTGTTGATATCCTAGCAGATTGGAAGGCCAAAATTCTGGGGAAAACTGATGGCAAGAAAGGTCAGTAAGAAAACAGTGATATTAACTGACAGTCCTCCATAGAAAAGGAGAATTTTATCTGCCTTACTCTTATGCAGGTGAGGAGGGCTTGCTGTATGTGGAAGAGTTCAAAGTGTTTAGACATGCATCCTGCATCATCTCAGTGTGAAAAAACAAACGGCTGTTAGTCAACCAAATTGTAATTCAGGAGTGGAGTATAAATCTCTTAAAAATGTTGTATGTCAATTTCCAAGCCAAATCAAAGCCATTCCTGATAAATCAGAAGATTTTCAGATAATTTTTTCCCCTCTTCATTTAAGAGCCTCTATTGTTGAAGGATATGACACAGGAGATGGGAACCTCAATTAATTCTCCAAGTTAGTGGCAGAAGGATTTCACAATGGGTGTGGGTGTGGTTTCTTAATTTTATTTAAACAAATCCTGCTGAATTGATGATAAAGTAAACCTCTATGACAAAACAGATTCTTCTTGGGAGGTAATCATGAAGGTGGTTCCATCTGAGCTTCTGAAAGGACCTTTGCCATCTTCTTATGAGCATTTATTAATTTATTAAATCTTATGAGTGTTTGAGGTAGGAATATATATTAACTTTTGGCTGTTCGCTCAATTGTGGCCTAAATGAAAGAGGCTTAATTGACCAGTTTAAAAAGGGATCAGCATGATTACCTTATTTATCAAAGCACTGTAGAGATTTTGTTTGCATTAATCCAAATGGATGGTCACTATTCTCTTTCAATCCCTCCTTCCCACCTCTACCCACGCATCAGAGCTTTAGAAGTCAAACCCTTGCAGGTAGAAGTAATCTGAGCTCTATTATCTGCCTGAAAAAAGCCTATATCTGTATTGTGGAGAAGGTGGCCACTTTGCATATGAGTGTCCTACTACAACTCCCCCCAATACATGCTACATACTGTTCTGCTTGATGAAGGGGATGTTTTGCAAGCTGATGCCCTAAACATCTGGCTTGTCAGGAAATAGGGTAGTCCTAGCCCCCATAACCTCAGAGACAACCAGATATTAAGTGGAGCCCAGATGTGGAGCCATTCACTGATATTTAGTCAATCCTGTTTTTCTATAAACTCAGATTGCCTCTAAGCTACTACTTCAAGACTTATGAGCATCATGAGCAACTTCACTGAATCCTGTCTTCCACATGAATATGATCTCCTATTTACCCTATCCCGCATCCTGTTAGGACTGAGATGACTGATAGCCAACTGTTATACTCAGGATCCATCACTGAACTTCTTCAACTCACCAATAGCAATCATCAGGAGTCCCTGCAACTTTACTTAGCCTCCCCATTATTTTCCAATTGTGTTGGGAATGGACTAGCTATGGACTCATAATCAGCATGCTCACTGGGATCAAAATGGCCACCTTTGATTCCCTGGGATGCAAGACTCACACTCTGGGGCATCTGCAATGCCCCAAAAATATCACCATTCATCACAGCTCACCAAGTATACCCTGCTAGGTTGCCCACCAAATACATGGATTATGCTGATGAGTTTGGAAAAAGGGAAGCATATCCCTATCTCCCCATTGGTTCTATGACTGCACAGTCAGGCTTATACCTGGAGCCCATTTTTCCACAAAATGCCACTATCCTGTCAAATATAGAGTTAGCACCCCTGAAGAAACTCCTTGATAAAAACTTTTAGAAAAATGTATTCCACCTCTCTACCTCCCTGGCAGTGTTTCTATTTTTTTTTTCAAGAAAAAGGAAGCCTCCCTGTGTGTAGTCCATGATTATCAATTCCTGAAATCTGTAACCATTAATGATAATTATCTGCCCTCTGCCCCTTATTTCTGATTTTTTTGAATGACTGCAGAATGCATGCATTTTTATCAAATTGAATCTCAGAGCAGCTTATAGTCTGATTCACATAAGACTCATGAATATTTAACTGCCTTTGATCTGGTTATGAGAAACCTGAATACATGGAAATGCATTCAAAGTGGCACATAGACCCTTGGTCTTCATGCAATTTATGAATAATATTTTTCATTACTTCGAGGACACATTTCTAGGTGTGTATCAAGGTTATATGCTGATTTATTCAAAGGATCCCCCTCTCCTCACTGATCAAGTTTGAGCAGTTATTCAGGGCCTTCATAAGTACAGCCTCTGTGCTAAGCCAGAGAAATGTGCCTTTGATCTGCCTGTTTGAAGTATTTTGGATACCATATTTCAGATCAATCCAACTAAAGCAGAATCTATTCTGCCTTGGGAGGGGCCAGAGAGAACTACCACCCCACTCTGCCCCCACAACACAGAAACTGGCGGAAACATAAAACATCTTCTGGGCTTTGCCAATTTTTACCATAAATCTATTCCTTATTTTGCTGCACTAATAACACCACTGACTTGCCTTACTGAGAAGGTTTACGTGGGATTCTGATACTCAACAAGCCTTTCTTCAACTAAAAAAAAAGTTCACTTGGTACATCCTCAGTCCTCCAGATTATACCCACTCTTTGTTCTAGAGCTGGTGCTTCTGATTTTGTCTTGGGACCTGAACAATGAATCATCACAGGAAGCAGCAGAGGACATCCACACAACACATTTTCTTCAATATGTCCATTTGTAATACCTTCACAAGTTTTAGCCTCCTGGCTGACTGCACAATCAAGCTTCAGTATCTGCTAATGGTTCTGACTGGGGGGCGGGGGAAGATTGGATTGGGAAAAAAAAGGGAAACATTTGATGACTAACAAGAGAAAAGTAAAGTCTGCACCACACAAATGCAAAAGGAAGAGATCTGGAATGAGGGAAGTTCCTGGCAAAGAAATAGAAGAAATGCTGTCAGGTGATGGGAGGGGTAGAGAGGCACAAAAGTAGGACATTTCAACAGCTTGAGCTGAAGAATTGATCATTCATCCCACTTCCTGTTGCTCTCCGGCAGGAAGAGGAAAGTGTAAGGTATCATAATGAAGAGAGATATTTTGGCTCCGGATGACAAAGAAATGGAGACAGAAGGCAGGGAACAGTGCTCTTCAGCTTTGCGGCTCAACAACCACAAAGTGAGAAGGGGAGGGGAAGAAGAAAATAGAGAAGGAGGGGGTGTTAGAAATGAAGCTGCCAAGCCAAGAACCACTGATTCCCAGGCTCAAGAGAAATACTATATCAACTCACCCAGCTGCATTGAAGAGAATGGCCAAATATCCTTTGATTTGGAAAAGTAGGAGGAAAAAGCCTAAGATTGAAGCACCAGAGCCTAGACTTATATATAAATTTTGATTGCTAAGTACTGCTGTGGTAGTTGGCTTCATTTTGTTCTGCAGTAAGGTAACCAATTTAGCTGAGTTAAATCTGTGAGCCTTCCACTGAGAAAGCCAAGTTCTGAATAAGGAGTCTAGAGAACTCCTTAAATAGAGGTCAAAGTCTGGGGAAGCTAGACTTACAGCCATGACAGGTGTCCACTCTACAATGATTATGACTCAGGTTATAAGCAGTAAAAAAATGTAAAATATTCAGACACTGATATCACTTCAATCAAAAATATTATGTGTATGTTGGAAATGCTGTCCATTTCTTTGCCAGACTAGTTTTCCCTCTTGTTTTTACTTCTCAAGCATGTTAATGATCTTTTTTTTGAAAAAAAATGTCTTCCCTAGGTGGGTATTCCTGTATGAGAAAGGCTACCAGTCTAAAGATGGCATCATAAACTCCGTCTCAGTGAAGCTCAAAGGGATAGCGCTTACGAATGTTAGTGAGATGGGTCCGTACATATGGGATGTGGCAGATTACGTTTTCCCACCTCAGGTAAGACACTGGGAGCAATGGAAGAGTCATTTCCAGAGAACGAACATGCAGGACAAGTTCTTTCTCCCATGCTTCCTTCTTTCACTTGGAATGTAAGAAATCGCCTTATACAAAGTGGCGCTGTAGGCCTAAGCAACAGCGGGGAGGTGTCAGATGTGTGGAGTCTACTTTGCATTTCACTAGAATCTCAGAACTCACCAGCCAGAGATTTAGAAGCCTCAATAGCTCTTTGAGGGATACTTACAGCTTTCCCAGTATTGAAGTGAAGTGCTCACTACCAGCTGCATCCATGAGGGAGGTCAGAAGAGGTAAGATGGCTGTTAGGACAGCTTCATCAAAGCCCTGCACTTCCAGTATGTGTGTCAATGTTATGTGCATGCACAAAGGGGTGGGGCTTTGAATGAGTTGTGGTGCTCGCCATCTTGCTTTTTTTGACTCCCCCTAAAGATGCTGCTACCTTCCAGACCTCCTTCAGTCAGCTGAAAGCTCTATTGGGATGAAATTTGCAGTCCTTGTTTCCCATCCTTATCGTGAATCGCTTGCCTTTGTCCCTGACAGTCAACCGACTTCTGTCCAAGGAGATTTTAGACACCTGGAGATTGCCCTTGCATGGTGCCATAATAAAAGGAAAATTCCACTTTAACACAAGTACAGCTAAGGATCATTTAAGCCTATCTCCCTCATGGACGGGGGACAAGATGAAGGCAATGCCACAGCACACCACCGAAAAAAGATTTTGCCCGGGCCTGTTTATGCCAGGGTTAGGTGCAAGACGTACATAAATCCCTCAGTGATACAAGTTCTGATGCCAGAAATTTGTTTGAATCTCAGAATTGAATGGAGCTCATCACACAACGATAGTATAGTAGATATACTGGACTAAGCTTTTTTAGATTTCAGCTACAAAATTTAGGGCAGGATCATTTTTGTTATTGCTATTTATTTGATCATGAACATAAAACTGAGCAAACTCCGGGAGGCAGTGAAGGACAGGAAGGCCTGGTGCAATATGGTTCATGGGGTCACGAAGAGTCGGACACGACTTAACGTCTGAACAACAACAACAAATTTATTCAATCACTGATAGTTAGAGATCATTGCTGCACTATTGTTTTACCAGAAGTTTCCCTTTTGCTTCTTACTCCTGGGCCCAAGGCAGACTCCAGGGTTCTGCTAAAAGAAATATGGCACTCGAAAGAAAAGATCGTCATGCTATTTTGGATGAACATTTATAAATTGGATTAATATTAAAATTAAATTAATATTTAATTAAATATTACATTAATATTTTAGAATCTTCCCAGTTGAGTTGGCAATTGTCCAGTTCTAATGTTGATGCTCCAGGGAGTCTCCAAATAGATCACCTACATTTTTTCTCGCCTCCCACTGCCCCTGTTGTGAATAGCAAGAGAGTTTTGTTCACATTCTGTCTTAGGCTTCTTGGTCATTTAGATCCAACTCCTTAATTCCTTGGTTTAAGCACAGAAGAACATTGAGATGCATCACCTGTTGCTTTCCTCTGGGATTTTTTTTTACACTTTCCACTTTTGCCTACAGCTCTGGGAGGTTCTGATGGTTTTTCATGCAAATATTAACCGGGTTGGACCTTGCTGAGGTTTTTCAAGATGAGCCAATGTCAGCTAGAAGCCAGTGCCTTCTGCTATGTGGCTATTAGCTCAAGAGGGGAGGTATGAAGCTATAAACTCCAGAATCTGAGGCTACCTAACTGCATCACTATGGCCAAGGGTCCAATGGTGCAAGTCCAAATGCGATATATATATATATATATATAGTTATTTATTTATGTATTCAATTTCTATAGCCGCCTATCTCAATCCAAGTGACTCTTTAAGCATTCTGTGCTAAGCCAGGAAATCAAGAAGCGGATCTAAAATTATCAAGTGAGTATTGTAGTTTCATGTACATCTTATTTTCCTCTGCAGGGAGACAGTTCCTTTGTGGTGATGACCAACTTTATTATCACCCGTGGGCAGAAACAGGAAACATGTCCAGGGGTATGTAACTTAATATTGACATTTTGTAGCATTTACTTTATTCATGTTTTGTAGAAAACCACAAAGATGACCTCAGAGAATGAATGCAAAGACAGTTAGCAAATTAGGAAGCCAGAGAAGACAAGGCAGTGTGAGAAAGAACCGGAAGGTTGCCCCACCTTGACTCTCTTTGATGTAAGAATGATGGAACAGGAAACACTATGAGGTTTTTAAGATTCTATTGCTGTAACCTACATACTTATAGCAGAGTTTCAGTAAGTCTTGTGGAGTCTGTTTCCTGATCTGGCCTACCATCAATCTTGAAAGCCTGACATTTCCCATTCCCCCTCTGTTGTATCAATGAGAGTCAAGGTGGGGCCACATTAAGTTTCTTCTTGCACTATCTGGTCTCCCCAGATTTAATTCATAACTTGCTAATGGTCCTTCCATTCCTTCTCCAAGGTCATCTCTGCAGTTTTCTACATGTTCTCACTGGGGAGGCGGTAGCAAAATTCCCAAAACACATCTGAGAATTGCAGATGCAAAATATCTGGGGAGGCAGCAGGGTAAGGAAAGGCGGTAAACAACTGAAGTTATTGTCCAAGGAACAGCCTTTCACCAATTTAAACAGCTCCACCCTGCATAAAAGATGGAGATAATAAGAACCTCAGATTTGCTCTCATTCAAACTGTGGAAACCCCAGGATTTTCTGGAGTCTTTGCCATTCATTCATAGATTCACACACATTCTAAATAGGAGGTGGGGATAATCCCCCAAAAGCCTAATGAGAACTGAGTGTGCTTTTGTGTACCCAAAATGCTTGGAGACAGCAGAAAAAATGAAGAAGGGAAGGAACAAAATGCAGTTTGTTGGAAAACAACAGGGTTAGATGATTTGAACACTGAACAGAAGAGTTTCATGTGTTCTAGTAGATCCTATTTCTCTCTCTATCTCATTGTATAGTCTCTCTCACACCCTGTTTTGACCGTCTGTGGTTGATGTCTAGTTAAACCAGTGTTGTCCAAACCTGGCCACTTTAAGATGAGTGGACTTTTGAAGAGTGGACTCTTCAACTCATGGCTGGCTGGGGAATTCTGGGAGTTGAAGTCCACTCATCTTAAAGTGGCCAAGTTTGGACAACACTGAGTTAAACGTCTGCTGCAGTGAATGGCAGAAATAGTCATGTTGGGGAATTCCTTCCTCTTTTCTAAAGAAAGACCCCTAACTTGGAGGCTCTGCCAGTTGCACCTGGAGGAAGAATGCCAATGTGCTCACAGAAACCTCTTTCGATACTCCCCCATCATCTCATTCTCTCTCTGAAAACAGGAAGTTGGAAGGTTGCAAAGCATATACCCTACAGTATAATTGGTATTTCCAAAAATGCCTCTGTCCCCTGCAATGAGTTCCATAAACTTGCTTAGAAATAACAATGGCGGCTACCTTCCAGCAGTTTGTCTGAAAGTATACCATCTACTCATCCAGAAAAAGGACAAAGGTAAATAGGGGAACTCCAGAGCATCCTGAGAGAAGAGTGACTAAAGAGGCAGGCAAGTTGCATACTTTGTAAGTGGTGATGTTCCCATGGCAGCCATTTTGTGAATGGGCAACTGTCTCCCAAACAGCCATGTTGCAGTAGTGGAGTCCTCGGTGTTCTCTGAGCTTGGTTGTTTGCTTGCAGACGTTTCATTACCCAACTAGGTAACCTCATCAGTGTTAGTGAGTGTGGGGTTTGCTCCCTGTTTATATACCGTAGCTTGCCCTGCCAGTGTTGGTGGGGGTGTGGTTTTTGCAACAGTGCATGTTGCAACAGTACACCAATGTGCCCACCAGCTCAAAAAGGTTGTGGACCCCTCGCTTAACTACACAAAACACATAAAGTTGCTGTTTTCATGCCAGTTTTTAAAAACTGTTTATTCAGTCATATATTTTGAAAGTTCAGCTTTTTACCATTTGCACAATTGAGTCTCTACATTCTTCTTCTTCTTTTAGAATAGAATGCTAAACGTCCTGTTACTGGGCAAGGATATAAAGGCAAGGACCTAAGGAGAGCTTGCAATCAATCTTTGCACTGCTTACTGAATCATTTCCATTTTTTCCCCTCATTGCAGCATCCTGAGACAGGGAAGTGTAACGAAGACACTAAATGTACTAAAGGAGAATTTCTTCGCCGAGGTCAAGGTGAAAAAGAAAACTCACGTGCAGATAGATCTAGATCAGTGTTTCTCAACCTTGGCAACTTTAAGACGGGTAGACTTCAACTCCCAGAATTCCCCAGCCAGCCATGCTGGCTGGGGAATTCTAGGAGTTGAAGTCTACCCGTCTTAAAGTTGCCAAGGTCAAGAAACATTGCTCTAGATACACAATATGCTTAACCAGGTCAGGTATACCAACCTGGTGGCTGTATTTGCACCACATGTTAAAAGCTTTTGGTTTGCTTGTTTTTGTGACTTAGTGTGTCGCATGAGCTCACCCCATTGGGTTAGTTTATAGTTCGGTGTATTGTGTGAACACAGAAAATGCTATGTACGTTGGGTGAGGGAAGTTACTTCCTTGTTTATATTACTTGCAATGTGATTTGGTATACGTACTTTAAAAAATGTTAAACTGAAGTTTCCTGGAATCTCTATAGTCCAACATCCTGTTTTCCATAATGACCAACCAGATGTGGATAGGAAACCCATATGCAGCTATGAATTGTGGGTGAATTGTCATGAGTTTTTTCCTTAATTTCTCATTTTTTGAAAATATGCCCGTTTGGGTTATTTCAGTGTTTCATTTTGTGAATATATTTTTAATATTAGATTTATATCTTGCCTTTCATTCAGGAGCTCAAGGTGGCTTCATAGTGCTCCCTTCCTCCTATTTTTCTCCATGACAACAACCCTGTGAGGTAGTTGGCTGGCCCAACACCTTAACAACTACAATGCACTGTTTGAGTCATCCAATTTAATATTTATTCTGATGCACATTTCTTCAAATACAGTTTTGCAAATTACTTCCCTAATGTAACATATTTTTCATGAGCATATGTGTGTTATATATATATGTATATATATATATATATATGTGTGTGTGTGTGTGTGTGTATTTCCTTAATACCATTTTTTAAATTGTTGACACACTGCATTGAGAAATACAGAGAACTGTGTAGTTTGAATGATACCTAAGCTTCAGTTGGTATGTTGATTCAAAAATGCTAAATTACCAAGCATTTTACGGATGTACAAAAAGAAGGACTAAGAGGCAAAAAATGAGGACAGATTAAAAAAAATGGCCTTGGGATGCTGACTGACTGTTTTCCAGGAGTTGGGGAGAGGAAGGAAGTTGGAGCTAAAGTTTGGAACAGAAGCATTTATATTGCAACATTTTGAGACTTCTCTTCCATTCAAGTTTCATTGCTTGTTGCTGTTGATATAAATGCATGGAGGGATAAGAGGAGTTAGCAATACAGGAACATAATTATGTGGACACATACAGAAAGTGTTTAATGAAGATGGATTGAATTAATAAGTTCTAAGTTCTGAATGAGGACAAACAATAATGATAACATTCAAAAAGCAGCTTCAAATATTAATTAGGTTTCATTTTAAATGGAAAAAGACGAAAACAGATTGCCAGAAATGAAAATAAGATCAACTAATTTTCCTGGGAAAGGGTTTTCTTACATGTGATTTTTCAATGAAAAAGGGCCAAAATGACATACATTAGAAGCTGTATATAAATTAAATATGGTGGTGATCATCAGCTGGAAACTCGGCTGAGCTCATACAACATACTAAACCCTAAACCTGAATAAAGATGTTATGTGTTCCTGCATAACAGATAAACCAAATAATTGGGTTTCCATAAATAAAGAATTACAGAGTTGAAAGAGACCTTGGATTTTATATAGTCCAATGCCCTGCTCAGGGCAGGATCCACTGCAGCAGCATCCACCCTCTGAAGACCTTCAGACACTGACTGAAGTCCAGTGGTCATGAAATTCTTCCTGACATCTCTAGCCTGAACTTTTTTCCTTGTAGTTTTAACTCCTTGGTTCTGATCCTGCCCTCTGCACTCCCTCTTCTCCATGATAGCCCTTCATATATTTGAAGAGACTGCTATCATATCTTCCCTCAGTTGTCTCTTTTATAGGCTAAGTATATCTAAATCCTTTAACAGATCCTTATGGGATTTGGTTTCCGGACCCTTCACCATCTTAGTGGCCATCCTTTGAACTCACTTGTTTGTCACTGTAATTTTTGAAGTCTGGTACTGAGAACTGGATACAGCATCCAAGGCAGTGTCTGACCAGGACAGAATAGAGTAGAATTATTATACCCTGAACCACAAAGTACACAATTGTTAGCTTTGACTAATGTGTTATGTTAGTCCTAGCGGCATCCTCAGTCCAGGAAGCAATAACACAGAGAGAGGAGTAACACAGGGTGGTCCTTGGTCCACAGGCTCTATTTGATTGATACCAATGTCTAGGGTAATCTTCATTCACTTTTTGACTATACTTTCCTCAGGAATCATGACTGGGAACTGTGTGAATTTTAGCCATACACAGAAGACCTGTGAGATATTTGGCTGGTGCCCCGTTGAAATTGATGACAACATTCCCAAGTAAGAAATGGAGGGGGGGGGGGTTGTCTTTCGGTTCATAAAGATGCTAATTCTCAGGAAGGAGGAATCAACCTTCTATGGACACCAGTATTTTCCTGTATTTTCACACATAGGCACCGATGTTTATGTCTTACAGTCCACCATTGCTTCTGGAAGCTGAAAAGTTCACCTTGTATATAAAAAACAGCATTACTTTTCCCAAGTTTGGAGTTTCCAGGTAAGCCAAAGATTCTTGTGACCATAAATTACAGCCCCTTTTTTTGGGGGTGGGCATTTTATCGTATTTGGTCATCCATCCATCCATCCATCCATCCATCCATCCATCCATCC